TGTTCCCACCTGTCACTCCTAGCTCCACCCTCCCAGAGCCCGGCCAGGTGAGGTCTGGGTGCTGACCAAGGTGGCCTACATCACCATGCCCTGTGCAGAATCTCACGCCAGGTCCCACAACCCTCCTCTTTCATGAGTTTCTGGTTCCATATGCTGCTTGAAGATATTGCTGAGGCCAGGAGCCCAGTCTTATTCTAGTTTAGAGGGCCTTTGTTAGAGGTCGTGTAAATTCAACTTTCTACTACCAATCCTGCTTGCACTGGTGACCAGAGGACATATTTTGACAGAGTATTCAAGAATGCTTCCTACCAGAAGGGCAATTGGACCACTTCATGGCTGAATTATGCTGTAGTAATTCTCACTAGTTATCTATCTTCTTCTACTACAGTTGTGGGCTTTCCAGTGTCACACTGACCACAGTCCACTGGCCTGTTCTTCTCCCTAATTGATCAAAATGAGTGCAGAATATCAGCATTTCAGATGGGGGTCAGCTGTGGACCTCTCCTCAGTTTACTTGACCTTGCCTGCCACAAGTGGCAGGAGAGGTTCCTGGGCCTGATGTAGGTAATGAGATTGTTACCTCCCCAGTTAGCACTTTCCAGCTCCCCTCTTTCAAGCACAACCCCCTGTGTTCTGCCACCTGGAGGTCAGGTGTCCGTGGCAGGAAGACATTATACAGATGGCCCTGCGGACAAGAGACATTAATGCCCCACCAGAGCTTTCTCCTGATTGTATCACCTGGAAAAGCCCCAACTCTGCCTCCACCCATGCAGGTTAGTGCCATTTCGAGAAGAAGCCATGACCAGCCTATTTTGGCTTCTTTAAGGATGTCATGCTGGATTCTGGACCACATGGCTTTATGAAGCCTGTATTTTCTTGATCTCTTTGTCTTGTCCAATATTTATGCCTCTGTCTGAGCTAAGCTTCTCCAGTCTGGTGGGTGATTTGATTAGCTCTAACACCCTGTCTTCTCAGCTCTCCCTTCCTGTACGTGGTTCTCAAGTGACCCTCCCTCCCATCTGTGCTGGTTTGAGACCATTTGTTGATGGGTATAAGTTTCTGAAAGCCTTAACTATAACCAGCATATGTTTTGCAGCACTTAAATTTAGCTGCCTTAGTTTCCCTACATAAATGTGTGCGTTTGCGATCCCTTCCTTCCACAGACTTTATTCTTTTGGCCAGTTCTTCAAGGCAGGTGATAGGTAAATTCACCATACTGGAAATCATGAAGAGATTGAACCTTTGTTTTTATTCCTGCCCAAATACAAATTCTCTAGAAAAATATATTAGAACAACCAGTCACCAAAGAGTAACAGAGCTAAATTTAAAAGACTCTAATACAAGTGGGGTTTGCAAATGTTGGTTCTGTTTCCGTAAGTGAGAACCAGCTGTCCTGGTAGGGTTTCTTTCTGCAAACTTGAAAAGCATTTAGGGATTTTGTGTACTAAAGTATCTTTTAGAAAAACTTATGTTATAATGAGTGGAGAAAAAACACTACAGAACAAAAAATAAGAAATAAAGAAAAACAATCCCAGTATGGGTTTCTTGTGCGAAGGTTTCTCTTAAGTCAGCCTGCTGGATGTGTTAAACATGCTATGGCATATTCATCTTGTCTGTCTGTGATATCTGTCTTTGTGTTTGGCATTACCGAGCCCTAGAGGTTATCACAAATGCCAGTTGTATGAAATAAGCGCAACTGACAGGATTTAAAGGCTAAAACTAACCTTTCTAATCCTTCTATTCCCCACTCCCCGCCTTAGGCCATGCCTCTTCTGCAAGACTATACGACATCCTTGCTCCTATGATGGGAGCTGCACTAATTTCCTGAATGTCAGTCAAAGCCTTTTTCCTAGAAGAGTTGGAGAAATTCAGGTTTCTCCTTCCAAGTAGGTGGAAAAGGAGCTATAAAACATTTTCAGAGTAAGATGGGTGTTGGTATTTTTGCCACAAGTGCTTACCTTTTTCACTTCTTTACTGCAGTAGCTCAGAAATATGATTTATAGTCCTTTTTCTGAATTCTCTTTATTTTAGATTAATTAATAAATTAAGTAAAATTAATTCTAAATTAAGAATATGTGTAGAGATCAATTAATTCATTAATATATTATTAAATAAATGTATCAATATTGAGCAATAGCTATGAGCTGGGCATTGTTCTAAGTGCTGGGGATACAAAATAGCCCAAGGCCCTGTTCTCTTGGAGTTTATATCCTAGTGAATGGAAAAACAGAAAATAATCAAATCAGACTGTGATATAAAGAAGAATAAAACAAAGGAGATAGGAATGATGGTGTTGGAGAGTGGGGTACTACTTTACATAGAAGATCAGAGAATGCCTCTCAGATAAGATGACGTCTGAACAGAAGTCTGAAGGATGTGAGGAAGCAGGTCACACTGATATCCTGAGGAAGAGTAAGCCAGGCCGAGAAAACAACTAGTAAATACCAAGACACTCAGCATATTCAAGGAAATTTTTAGGTTGTAATGAAGACTTTGGATTTTATTTTCAGTGAGATAGAAAGTCACTGGGGCCGGCCTGGTGGCGCACTGCTACAGTGCGCCGCTTGGGAGCGCGGCGGCGCTCCCGCTGAGGGTTCGGATCCCACATACAGACCGGTTCCCGCTCACTGGCTGAGCGAGGTGCGGGCGCAACGCCGAGGGTTGCGATCCCGTTGCCGGTCCCGGTCTGGTACGGGCGCGACACTGAGGGTTGCGATCCGTTGCCAGACACGAAAAAAGACAAAAAAAGAAAGTCATTGGAGAGCTTCGAATAAAAGGAGTGATGTGATTTAATTCATGTTTTTTAAAAAGACCAATTGGGTTGACATTATTAAAGATGGTGCAAGGGGGCAAAGGAGAAAGCAATGCTCCTAGTTAGGAAGGTATGACAGTCAAGTCTAGGAAGAAGAGTAAATTGGGCTGGAGTGATAATGATGGAGGTAGTGAGCAGTGATTGAATACTGGAACTATTTTGAAGATAGAACTGATAGGACTGGCTGGAGGATCAGATGTGAGATATGAGGGAAACAAGAGGCATCAAGGACTCTGAGGTTTTAGCCTCAATAACTGGGAAGTTGCTGCTTCCTGAGATGGCAGGATTGGGATAGGAGCAGGTTTGGGGTGGGTGGAAAGGATCAAGTGTTCAGCCTGGGGCATGTCCAGCATCAGCTGCCCATCAGACGTCCAAGTGTTGATTCTGAGTAGACAGTTGGACGTGAGAGTCTGGAGTTTAAGGGGTGAGGTGGGGCAGGAGACACAAACTCTAGTGTCATGAGTGTAGAGATGGTTTTAAAGCCATGAGATTACATGAGACCATCCACAGAGCAAGTGGAGAGAGGAGAGGAGAGGTTTGGGGCCTGAGTGCTGGGCATCTCCAAAGCAGAGGGGTTGGAAAGGAGATGGAAAGGGAGCGGCCAGTGCAGTAGCTGACAGCCGGGAAGGGTGTTGTTCCAGAGGCAAGGGAAGAAGTTGGTCCGAGAAGAGCAGTCAATGGCTATTGGGTTTGGAAATATGGAATCACTGGTGACTTTGATGAGAGCATTTTTAGTGGAACAATGGGAACAAAACTTGACAGGAGTGGGTGCAAGAGGAGCAGAGTAGAGCACATGGCCGCAGTGTGTAGACAACTTGCCTGAGGAGTTTTGTTACAAAGGGGAACATGGAGGGACTGGAGGGAGCTGCAGGGGCCAAGAGAGGGGATTTCTGTTTCTTAAGATGAGAGCTATGACAGTGTACTCGTGTCCTGATTCAGTGGAAAGAGAATGTAGAATGCGCAAGAACGGGAGGGGACAATTTCAGGCAGAAGGATTGGGATCAAATGCACAAGTGGCTGTTGGAGAAAGTGTAATGTGCTGATGCAGGTCTAGGTAGGTGGGTTGGTGGGTTCGGTGGTGGGAGCCTTTGGAAGATCACAAGGTAAAAATTAGGAGGTAGAGGAGGAGTTGGCAGCTTGAGGAGAAAGGAGCGTGATGAAGATGGAGGAGAGCGGAAGAGTGAATTGACCACCTCGGTGTTCTCGTGCCGCCCTGTGCGTGAGACCCACCCAGTGGGGGTGAGTTGCCTCACCCTGAAAGGTCCTGATTCAGTAGGTCTGGGGAGGCGTCCAGGAGTTGGCAGTGTTCACAAGTTTCTGTTTGATCCTGATGCTGCTGGTCCACAGTCCAGACTTTGGGAATCACTGTGCTGGGGTGGCACTAAAGGCCTCCTTGCACCTGGCAAGTCATGCATGCAAAGTGAATGTTGTCAGCATGGTTGTGTGTCTTTCTCCAGCCTTGTTCAGCAGCTCAGAAGCTGGCAGCAGTAGGCAGATAAATGGACTTGATTGAAAAAAGTGAAGAATCGATATCACCAGGATACTTGGGAGGTTTTACTTCTCTGTGATGTCTTTGTATTCTGAAACTGCTATTTGTACATTCTTTAAGTAACAAGGATTAGAGAATCTGAGACTGAGAAAGAAAAATGAAGGTTTACGCTTGATGTTTACTGTCGTAGGACTTAGAAGTAAAATGGAATAATATCCACCTCTGGTTTCGTATGGCGAGGAGAAACATAAGCCCCTTTCCCTAAAATACCTGTTAACCATAGTGTTTCTGTGGTCTTACTAAAGAGCAAAATTCTGAAATACACTTCGAAAACTAAAGCTCGGTTCTTTTGTATTTTATAAGATTACATCACAAACTGAATTTTAAGAGGGTTATATTCTTTGAAAATGTTCATATCTTCCTACAAAAAAATAAGTGGTTACGCACAGAGCTTTACACACGGGAAATGAGTCCCAGCCCACATGGTCGGAAGAAAACTCAGCTGTTAGAGAGAGGGCCAGAGCTCATTAGTCAGAATAGAAAGAGAAGGACCGACTTCCATAATAAGGAGCAGTATTAATTCAGATAGAGTATGTGAAACAACCATTTAAATACAGTATGGTATATTTACATATGAAGCAGTGCTGTATTAATTTTTAATGTAACTGATAGTTTTCTTTTTATTAAAAAACAAAACAGATTTTGTTGGAGCCAGGCGTGATCCAGGATGTGTTAGCAGCTGGCAGTCACCTACAGCTCTTGGAGCTTCTCAATTTATGTTCCCATTATCTCATCCAGGTATGTGAGCTTGCATACTGTTAATAAGCTTTCCCCATTGCTTTCCCCTGCCGTCGTAAGCTGTCCCCGCCAACTGGAACTGAATGATGGGTAAAATGGGGGTGATGAGGTGGGGGAATGGCCTGTGCTGGTAAAATTTTTCCAGGACACAAGCTGAGAGGCCCCTAGGGGCGCGGCTGCAGCTCTTGTGTCCTATCACAGAAGAGGGCATTTCCCCTCACACCCCCTGCCCACCCCAGGTCCCCACTATGCTTGAGCAGCAGATTAACTCAGCACCCACACACAGAGTTCCCTGTGGGTCCCTGGGGAGATGACACTGGAAAGTGTCCTGTTCTGAGGCAAAGTTGTCTGTTTGCAGAAATAACCACAAATGCAAGAAAAGTGGAATGTTCATTGAAGATTGCAGTAACAGCAGCTAATATATCATAAAATCATATAAAATTAATTACTACATGGACTTCCCAGGCAGCCAATGCTGGAGAAGGGATGAGTGATCTGTGCATTCTTACCCTGACTTGCTGGCTGGTCAGGAAAGGCTCTACAGGAGAGTAAGGAAGAGAAAACTCCCGCATACCACGTTCCCACTGTATATTCACAGGTGTTTCAAGTCCAGTCCTTGCAACAACTTTGCACATTTTTTTATAGATGAAATATTAGACATTCAAAAATGTATCCAACTTGCCTGAGGCAATATGGCTGGTGAATAGTAGACCTTTCTGATTCCAAAGACCATTTTCTTCTTGAATGAGAACTCTTTGGTAGGTAGGAAGGAAGATATAGGTCATTTTAGGCAAACAACATAGCTAATGAGGCTTTTTGATTTTACAGGGTTAGGAACCAATTTCCTGTGTTAGGATCTTCCCCATTTCACCCATTGGTATGACTTTTATTTGCATTTATTACAGCATTATAACAATAGTAAAAGTTAATTTTAAGAAATAATAAATCCACACCATTTAATTCTATTATTTTTGTGCATATGATGTGATATTTGTGAGCAGAAAAAGCCTATTTGTTTTCCTGCCCAATTACTAATCATTTTCTAATCATTTTCTGTAATTCTAAATATGCCCTTTGACATTGACTTCTGTTACCCATTTGGTAGTGTACAAAACTCTTTGACATACAGCATCTTATTTAATCTTCCCAGCAACCCTGGGAAATAGGAACCAGCACTTCCCAGGGAGACAGTGTCAGGCATTTCAGCCGTGTTCACCTAAAGAGCAATTCAAATGCAGTATATAAGATTTTTATCATTATCTCAGCACATTTAGTCTAACAGTAAATGTTTATTTTTATCTTATTTTCCTTTCTTCTCCCCTCAATATCGTTGGATGGTATGGGAAAGCCATTTTTAATCCCTTTCTGCCAGTAGTACATGGGAATCACATAGAAAGGTTACAAGACTTCAAAATTGTGTTTGACTTGTGAAACTGAAATTACTCTTATTTGACATTTCTACATCCAATATGCAACTCGAGCTTTGCGCATCATCACCTGATTCACTTTTCCCGTAGCAGGTAATAATCAGTGATGCGTGTTGACAGAGGTTTGGTTATAGTGTTAATTACTGTGATGCTTATTATAAGTGGTGTGTACATACAGGGGTGTGTGTGCGCGCATACCTATACTGTTCTATGAGAATTCCTGGTAAACATTGGAAGTTCATGGGTATTTCCCCCTACCCCATCAGATGAATTTATTGAGATACTGACTTGTGCACTTTGGAATTTAACTCTCGCATTTCACTTTTTTGCTGAGGTAAAAGTGTAGCTTAAATACAGATATATTTCGTGGACAGTTATTATTCAGGCTTCTTGAACAGTGGTTGAAACTTCTTTTCACGAAATGTTTTCATTTCATTCTCTCGTGTAACTTTCCTTTTCCTTTTTATCTGTGGTTGTTGCAAGATGTCAAACTTGTAGAGGGAGATTTTGACAATATGAGAACCAAAACTGTGTATATGTAGAAATCATTTCATTACTTCAGTCTTTTAAAAATATATATGCTGCTTTTCTCTTAGGATTATAATACCAGCAAACTGAATCAGTCAGCTTTTATACTTTGACATAGTCTTATAGCTGTACCTGCTTGCTATTTTTTGGCAATATTGCCCAACTGATTTATAATTTCATATGGGACCATTTTATTGAGTATATAAAAATAATTTTTGTTTAGATGAAAAATCTCCAGTGCTTAAAATGTACCTAGAAATTGTACCCCATCAGTCAATGCTAACATATTCTCTATCCTTGTTTGGTACTTTGTCCAACTAGGAGTTTTTGAAACCATTCCTCTCACTAAAATATCTGGTATTGCTTTGTTGTTCTTAAATGTTCATTATTTCTTTGGTTTCTCTGCCAGAGGTAGACCCCTGATCTAATACCCCTGTTTTCCTCCTGTGTTCATTAAAAAGCACGGCCAAGGGGAGAACCCCTTGGTGGAAGCTCCCAAAGGTTCTCTAGCCATCAGCTATTCCCTTGGCCTGAAGCTCCTCTGAACACATGTAAATGCTACTGCTGCCTCCCAGAAAAGGGAAGGGACACCTGAGGCCACTGTGTGGGCTCCTTTCTCTTGCTTTTTCTCTGGCAAGATGATGAAGGCTAGGACCCCAAACTGCAGGAGCAGTGCTGCTCTGTGTCAATGAGGACAGCTACTGAATTGGCCCCCTAGGCCGTGAGGCCTTCACACATGTTCTCAGAGCATGTTTGTGGAAAGAAGGGAGAGCCAGCAGTGAATATTATGCTAATTGATAGGGGGGCAGGGAGGGGAGGGACAGTCGTGCCTTTCTTTAGGCTCTCACCTTTCTTGCTTACAGGTTGTGATGTCCTCCTAAGGGGTCTGCTTGTTTCTAGCCTGTCTTCATGCCAAACCATGGTCCCCAGAGCATCATTATCTCTCCCAGGGAAGAGAAATGTTTATTGAGGGCCCATCCACTCCGCTAAATCACCCCTTAAGGCAGATGGGTGTTGTTTTCTTTTTACAGATGGAGAAACTTAGATTCAGAACTAGGATGTTGATCTGGTTGGAAAACTTACATTAGCTACCCTGGTGATTATTCAGATGATCTCACCTACAAAAGTTATCAGCCTCATCTCCAAGGCCAGGCCTGTTCCTCCCCAGCCACCTTTCTAGCCACAGTGCCTTTCTTAACCTGCTTTGTCCTGGACCCTTGGGCAGACTTTCATATTGGAACTTGCCATTAGGGGGGAAGACAAGGTCATGCAAGTCCTCGGTGGCAGGCAGACTTTTCAGTCCTCTTTAGATCATACCAAGGGGCAGGAGTAGGGAAAACATCACACACACACTCTCTCTCTCACTCTCTTCTCTGCTGATGCACAGTGTCATAAGATCAGGGGTATTAGCCACTGAACTTTGTGTTGCATCCCCTGCAAGTGCTGCATTAGGAGCCACATCTTTGCTGAAGATGTCTTTTATTGTAGTTAGCTTTCCCCCCAAAAAAAGTTTGTACATTTTGTACACCTACCCCAAATAGTACTTCCTATTGTTTGCTTAACAAGTTTCTGTTCAGCAAGTATCACAGCTTTTATAATGACATGTAGTTTAGATGTGTTGATGAAAAAGAACCACCGCTTAGACTTTTCGAATAAAGCCACCAAATTAGCGAATACTTAAACTCCCTTTGATAGGAATGAGTATACTTCTAGTATCAATTCGTCGACAGCAGGTGGCAGTGTGAATCCACCAGAATTCAGTAATTTAAAGCAAAAAATCAGAAAAAAAGAAAAGAAAAATTATTTATTTTACTACATATTAGTCTTCTGACCTAATCAGTAAAAAAGTCATTATTCACACCACACTGGGCAATATGCATTGTAATTTTTAACAAATAATAGGAAACTGTTAATGTGTTCACAGAAAATACAGTTTTGTCTCGGGCTGCTGTGGTCATTTATCAGCGCACTTTGTGAAATCACTCATTTGTTCTAATTTGAATGTAAATGACTCTAAGGTTTTACAAATAAGGTGACAGACTCACATAAATGTAATTGCAGGGTTCATCTCCTTCTTTTTATATATCACTCATTAGGTTATGAATTAAATACATCGTATTAAACCAGGGGCATGTCCAATGATGATATTGTAATGGCAAATTACTCTATGCTATTAGAGGTGTATTTTTTATTCATGGACATTAATTTGTCATTAAGCGGCATTAGTTTAGCACTTTTATGTGAAAGACGTGACCTGCAAGAGGAGACGTGCTGCCGGAATGTGAGGGGACGGGGACGCAAGGGCTGTAGGTAGAGCATTTTATCACTGCTAGGAAACCAGAGAGGGGTTTGGTTTTGTTTGTTTTGTTTTCTGCTTTTACAGGCATGAAAGATAATTTCCCCAGATTAAAGGCGTTGTTCTGTTTACAGTGTGTACATTCGAATGATCTAGTAAAGCAAAGCCCAAATTCTTTCTATCCATCATTCAGAAGCCAAGAACAAATGCAAAGGGAACCGGAGGGAGGGAGCCCTCAGTCTGCTCCTCTGTAACTGGTGCTTATTCAGCATCCGTGTTTTCCTTTAGTTTTCCACTCGGTGGGCTACACTGAGAATTAGTCATTTTCTCCCTTCAGTGACAGTACAAAGCTTTTAAGAATGTTATTCTCTCAGGGCATGAGGGAGAATTCTGGGTAATTTTGTTCCTTTTTTTTTTTTTTTTGCATAAACAGTAATTTTACTGTTGTTGTTTGGTTTGTTTTTTTTTCCTGCTTTGTTTTGTTTTTTATTAAGACAATACTTTTTCCACTTTGAACTTTGAGAAGCTCTGGATCCTTGAAATACCTTGACCAGGCTGAAAGTATCTGAGCGCTGCTTTTGCATCATTTTGCAGATGGTTGAATGTGGTTGGGAAATGTCTGCACCCCCCCAGTTGCACCGTGGGGCTCTTGAGGGTCGAGATCAGGACTTGCACTAATTTATATCTCACCCTCTCTCTATTCACATTGCATGAGCTCAGTATGTGTTGAGGTAATGAAAGGTGCCTCC